GGCTGGAGTGCAGTGGCATGATCCTGGCTCACTGCAACCTCTGCCTCCCAGGTTCAAGCTATTCTCGTGCCTCAACGTGCATCACCACACCCAGCTAATTTTTGTAGTAGAGACAGGGTTTTGCTATGTTGGCCAGTCAAGTCTTGAACTGCTGGTCTCAAGCGATCTGTCTGCCTCAGCCTCCCAAAGTGCTAGGATTACAGGCGTGAACCACTGCACCCGACCTCTTGTTGGTTTTTTATAAGGAATCTGCCATATATCAGTGAATTCCTTGACTATGGAAACGATGAAAATCATTTTACAAAGCAGTATTACAGGTGGGGCTCACATAGTCTTCAGCATGTGCACAATTGCTATTACTTTTGAGTAAGTATTGTTAGCCTGCAGTTGAGGAGGAGAATCATGGGCCATGTACAAAAGTCTGGACATGTTGGTTTTCTTGGCCCCTTATAGAACTAATACAAGCACGTTGCTTTTGCTCAAACAGACAAATACTCAGAGGCATATGAATTCCCAGAGAACAATATAGTGGAAGCAAGGACTCCCATATAAACCAGCTTCTTAATTTTTGCTTATTAATTTCAGAGAATGTGGTGGTAAAAAGGGAAAAGATTACTGCCGAACTAGACCTGAAAAATTGTCAAATTATTCTTGACGAAAGTGGTTTGAAGTGTTTGAATGTACATTAACAAAAACAAGCACTATTCTTCAATTTTTAGGTGTCTGTACTTTGGAGCCACCATTTTACATTGTGACTGAATACATGCCATATGGGAATTTGCTGGATTACCTCCGAGAATGCAACCGAGAAGAGGTGACTGCAGTTGTGCTTCTCTACATGGCCACTCAGATTTCTTCTGCAATGGAGTACTTAGAGAAGAAGAATTTCATCCATAGGTGTGTAAAACTTACCTCTGACTAACCATGAAGCCATCCTGCTTGACATGCAGATAAAAGGAAGAATGTGAGAACCTTCCCAGAAAATTTCGGATGATTCAAGAACGTAATTTCGTATTTCACAGGGCCCATTATAATGTCACTTCTAACTTGTAAACAAACGTACTGTACTCTGATTAAAGTATTAATAAGGGGCCTTTGCTATTCTCAAAACTGAGAACTCTCTTTGGAAAAAAAAAAAATTACAATAGTGATGGGGTCTTGCTATGTTGACCAGGCTAGTCTCAAACTACCGGCCTCAAGTGATCTTCCCATCTTAGCCTTCCGAAGTGCTGGGATTATAGGTGTGGGCCACCATGCCTGGCCAGAGAGCTCTCTTTATTTTGCCCAGCACTGTATCCAAGATCCTTTTTCACCATCTAGTGGCTTTTTTTTTTTTTCCCCCTTCTTGAGTCAGTCTGGCTCCATCGCCCAGGCTGGAATGCAGTGATGCAATCTTAGCTTGCTGCACTCTCTGCCTCCTGGGCTCAAGCCATCCTCCCACCTCAGCCTCCTGAGTGGCTGGGACTATAGGAATGTGCCACCATGCCCGGCTAAGTGTTTTTTGTTTTGTTTTGTTTTGTTTTTTTGTTTTTTTGTTTTTTTTGTAGACAGGATTTCCCCATGTTGCCCGGGCTGGTCCTGCACTCTTGAGCTCAGGAGATACACCCACCTTGGCCTCCCAAAGTGCTAGGATTACAAGCATGAGCCACCACACCTGGCCTAGTGGCTGAGTTTTTAAAATAGTTTTCTGCCTTAGTAAATAACTTAAAGTCTTGTAGAAAAGCATCTATTGCTCACCTATCCCAGTGTACTTATAAATAGGGACCCATTTTATAAAGCCTGCTTTATTCTGCTTCTTGATGAGTGCTCTACAGTGATATATCATTAGTGGGCTTTCTAAGATGTTAGTGATTGTCGGAAAATACTACCATATTCGTCAGCACTTACTTAACTCTGCCTGTAACACAAAGAACCAAGAATAGAGTGTTCACGACCATTTTCCTCACCGTCTGAATGGAATCACATTAGGGTTCTCTTTCCCACAGAGATCTTGCAGCTCGTAACTGCCTAGTGGGAGAAAACCATGTGGTAAAAGTGGCTGACTTTGGCTTAAGTAGATTGATGACTGGAGACACTTATACTGCTCATGCTGGAGCCAAATTTCCTATTAAGTGGACAGCACCAGAGAGTCTTGCCTACAATACCTTCTCAATTAAATCTGACGTCTGGGGTAAGGTTGAAAGGGACTTTTTTTGGTGTCATTTTATTTTTTTTTTAAATGTCTTGATTCTTTAGAGCTTCTCTTATGATGTTCACTGTCCTCTACCTTTACCTGCCATTATTCTTCAGTTATTCAGCAAGTATTTGTTAAATACCTCCTAGCTGCCAGGACTGTGCTAAGAACTTTGCATAAACAGAAGTATAGGCCTGGTGTGGTGGCTCACGTTTGTAATTACAGCACTTTGGGCCGAGATGGGCAGATCACTTGAGGTCAACAGTTCGAGACCAGCCTGGCCAACATGGTGAACTCCCATCTCTACTAACTACAAAAATTAGCCAGGCGTGGTGGCACATACCAGTAATCCCAGCTATTCAGGAGGCTGAAGGCTGAGGCAGGGGAATGGCTTGAACCAGGGAGGCAGAGGTTGCAGTGAGACAAGATGGCGCCACTGCACTCCAGCCTGGGCAATAGAGCGAGACTCTGTCTCAAAAAAAAAAAAAAGAAGTGTAAAGAACAAAGTTTAGGGCCAGGCACAGTGGCTCATGCCTGTCATCCCAGCAGTTTGGGAGGCCGAGGCAGGTGGATCACCTGAGGTCGGGAGTTCAAGACCAGCCAGACCAACACGGAAAAATACAAAATTAGCTGGGTATGGTGGTGCGTGCCTGTAATCCCAGCTACTCAGGAGGCTGAGGCAGGAGAATCACTTGAACCCAGAAGGTGGAGGTTGTGGTGAGCCGAGATCACACCATTGTACTCCAGCCTGGGCAACAAGAACAAATCTCCGTCTCAAACAAAAAAGAGAGAGAGAAAGTAAGTTAGTTTTAAAAAAGAAGTCCCTGCCTTCAGAGAGCTCACAGTCTAGATCTCATATTACATTGGAGTGCTGATCATCCTCTCTGTAAAGCATCTTATTTCCACATTAGGTTTGGTTTGGTTTTTTTTGTTTGTTTGTTTGTTTGTTTTTGAGATGGAGCCTTGCTCTGTTGTCCAGGCTGGAGTGCAGTGGCACAATCTTAGCTCACTGCAACCTCCATCTCTTGGGTTGAAGTGATTCTCCTGCCTTAGCCTCCAGAGTTGCTGGGACTACAGGCATGCATCACCATGCCCAGCTCATTTTTGTCATTATAGTAGAGATGAGGTTTTGCCATGTTGGCCAGGCTGGTCTCGAACTCCTGACCTCAAATGATCCACCTGCCTTGGCCTCCCGAAGTATTGGGATTACAAGCATGAGCCATTGTGCCCAGCCTCATATTAGGTTTTATCACTCATTTGCAGAGTACTGTGACACAGAGCTTTATTTTTTTTTCAAGGGAAGTGTGATGAGGTTTCTATTGGGGGAACCCACCCCCAGTATTTCACCGTAGATTCTTTCTATTTTCCGTAAGTGTTGGCCAGCTGAGAAATAAAGAGAAAGTGTACGAAGAGAGGAATTTTACAGCCGGGCTTCCAGGGGTGACATCACGTATCGGTAGGACGGTGATTCCAATCTGAGCTGCAAAACCAGCAGGTTTTATTAAGGATTTCAAAAGGGGAGGGAGTGAGAGAACAGGGAGTAGGTCACAAGATCACATGCTTCAAAGTGCAAAAAGGAGAACAAAGATCACATGCTTCTGAGGAAACAGGACAAGGGCAAATCAGAAACTCCTGATAAGGGTCCAACAAAGATCACAAGGCAAAGGGCAAAAGTAAAGATCACAAGGCAAAGGGCAAAGTAGAATTACTGATAAGGGTCTATGTTCAGCGGTGCACGTATTGTCTTTATAAACATCTTAACAGAAAACAGGGTTCGAGAGCAGAGAACTGGTCTGACCTCAAATTTACCAGGGTGGGGTTTTTCCCACTCTAGTAAGCCTGAGGGTACTGCAGGAGACCAGGGCGTATTTCAGTCCTTATCTCAACCGCATAAGACAGATACTCACCGAGTGGCCGTTTATAAACTTCCCCCCAGGAATTCATTCCTTTCCCAGAATATTAATCCTTGCTAGGAAAAGAGTTTAGCAATATCTTCCCTGCTTGCATGTCCGTTTATAGGCTCTCTGCAAGAAGAAAAATATGATTCTATTCTGCCCGAGCCCGCAGGCAGTCAGACCTTATAGTTGTCTTCCTTTGTTCCCTAAAATCGCTGTTAGTCTGTTTTTTTGCAAGGTGCACTGATTTCATATTGTTCAAACACACGTTTTACGATCGGTTTGTACAGTTAACACAATAGTGGTCCTGAGGTGACGTACATCTTCAGCTTATGAAGATAACAGGATTAAGAGATTATTAAAGACAGGCATAAGAAATTATAAAAGCATTAATTTTGGGAACTGATAAATGTCCATATTAAAATGAAATCTTCACAATTTATGTTCCTCTGCCATGGCTCCAGCCGGTCCCTCCATTCGCGGTCCCTGACTTCCTGCAACAGGTTTCATCTAGAATTTGTCTTAACTGATCTGGTTTCTACTGCTCTGAGAAGTAATATGACTTGGCTTCATAGACTGAAAAATCTGGAAATTTGGATTGTGGACCAATAGAAATAGTCACAGGATTCTAAGTCACTTTTAACTAGAAATCTCAAACTCAAATTAACTGACAAAAATCAAATTTTTTTCTGCTCTGAATTTTATCTGATTTTAAATGAACTGTTTTTATTTTACTCCTCTTATATTAGCTAACTTTAAAACTATTATACTTATTAGATACAATGGTTCTCCCTTATCCTCAGGAGAATACATTCTAAGACCCCCCTTGGAAGCCTGAAGCCAAGGATAGTGTCAAGCCCTGGGTATATAATCTTTTTTTGATCTGATAACCGAGAGGTCTTCTCAGTGACTAAGGGGTGGGTAGCATCTATGTTGTGGATATGTTGAGTAAAAGGATGATTTACGTGTGAGGTGGGAAGGAGAAGCATGGCTTGAGATTTCATCATGCAAGTCAGGGCAGCATGCAATTTAAAACTTTAGAATTTATTTCTGGAATTTTCTATTTAATATTTTTGGCCCTTGGATGACTGTGAGTAGCTGAAACTATGGGAAGTGAAACCATGGCATAAGGGGTGACTACTGTATATCAAAAACTTTTCTAAGAGTAGTTGAATTATGCCTCAGACTTCTTAAATGGTCATAGTTTATTTTCCCTCATTATAGTAAAGGAAAGCTAAATAAAAATTGGGAAATTTAAATAAAACTGTCTTGAGATTATCTGCAGCATTCCTGTTGCAAATATTTTAGAAGGACAAGCCGTGCTGTAAGAATTGATGAGTATATTATATATTAATGTTGTTGTAGTAGTGTGTGAATGTTGCCTAAAATTTGAAAGAGAATCACCTGATTATCTAAAATAAAAAATAAATCGGAGAAGAAACACTAAGTGCTTATTTTAATTCCTTATGCAGCTTTTGGGGTACTGTTGTGGGAAATTGCTACCTATGGAATGTCACCGTATCCAGGTATTGACCTGTCTCAGGTCTATGACCTACTAGAAAAAGGATATCGAATGGAACAGCCTGAGGGATGCCCCCCTAAGGTTTATGAACTTATGAGAGCATGTGAGTATTTTTGCATGTTTTAATTTTGAAGGCATAAGCTAGCAGTTCAGAATAGTTAACAAAATTAGAAACATTTCTCCTCTCAGTGTTGTTAGATTGAATCCAGCCTCATGACATTTAAAGAATTTAGCATTGATCAGGCAGTTGTCATATCATATACCATTGAACCTTACTGGAATCCTAAGCATAGTTGTTATGGCCTAAATATTGACCCAGTTTCTCAGAGACATTTGCATATTTAATAAGATAAGAAATTGAGTTTAGAGATTAAGGTGGGGAGGACTGTTTTCAACTAGATAAAAATGGTTGCTAAAGACTATGAAGAAGGCATAAAAATAACCTCTGTGGTGGATAAACAGAAGCATCTGATGGCTTGCAGATGAAAAGGTAGGAAAGTAAGTAGTGAATTAAATTGCAAGGTTTGTTTGTTTGCTTGTTTGTTTTTGTTGGTGTTATTTTTGAAACAGTCTTGCTTTGTCGCCCAGACTGGGGTGCAGTGACACGATTTTGGCTCACTGAAACCTCTACCTCCTGGGTTCAAGCGATTCTCGTGCCTCAGCCCCTGAGTAGCTGGAACCACAGGCACACACACCATGCCCAGCTAATTTTACTTTTTTTTTTTGAGACGGAGTCTCGGTATGTTGCCCATGCTGGAGTGCAATGGTGCAGTCTCTGCAACCTCCGACCCCCGGGTTCAAGCGATTCTCCTGCCTCAGCCTCCCAAGTAGCTGGGATTACAGGCACCTACCACCATGCCTGGCTAATTTTTGTATTTTGGGTAGAGATGGGGTTTTACCACGTTGGCCAGGCTGGTCTCGAACTCCTGACCTCAAGTGATGCACCCGCCTTAGCCTCCCAAAGTGCTGGGATTATAGGTGTGAGCCACCATGCCCGGCCTAATTTTTGTATTTTTAGTAGAGTCAAGGTTTCACCATGTTGACCAGGCTGGTCTCAAACTCTTGGTCTCAACTAATCTGTCCACCTTAGTCTTCCAAAATGCTGGGATGACAGGTGTGGGCCACCGGGCCTGGACCCAATTGCAGTTGTGTTTAAACGTAAGTCTGTGTTCTTTCCTCATTGAACATTGACGTTCTCTGTTGCACTTTGTCAAAAATGAACTCTGAGCTCCTTTTTGATATCCTTTTATATTTCTGAATATATACAGTTGATTATTTGTATGGTTAGGCTGAGTTTGAAGACAGGTTTTACTTCTTTTATTTTCAAGTGGAAGAAAACTTGCATTTTCTAAACCATCTCCCTGTTTCTCCTCATCCTTTTAGTAGAGAGAATAGGAGCTGAGGCTAAATTGAAGCCCCAGCCTTAGAAAGTGGGTTCATGGCCAGGTGTGGTGGCTCACACCTGTAATTCTAGCAGTTTGGGAGGCCGAAGTGAGCAGATTGCTTGAGCTCAGGAGTTCAAAAGCAACCTGAGCAATGTGGCAAAATCCTGTCTATATAAAAAATACAGTAGTTTGAGATTGCTGTGTTCGCTCACTTTGGCTGGGCGCAGTGGCTCATGCCTGTAATCCCAGCACTTTGGGAGGCTGAGGTGAGTGGATCACCTGAGGTCAGGAGTTTGAGACTAGCATGGCCAACATGGCGAAACCCCCGTCTCTACTAAAAATATAAAAATTAACCGGACGTGGTGGCATACGCCTGTAGCCCCAGCTACTCTGGAGGCTGAGGCTGGAGAATCACTTGAACCCAGGAGGCGGAGGTTGCAGTGAGCTGAGATTACGCCACTGCACTCCAGCCTGGGTGACAGAGTGAGACTCTGTCTCAAAAAAAAAAAAAAAAAAAATATTATCCACGTGTGGTGTTGCACACCCATAGTCCCAGCTACTTGGGGAGCTGAGGCAGGAGGATTGTTTGAACCCAGGAGGTCAAGGCTGCAGTGAGCCGAGATCGTGCCACTGCACTCCAGCTGGGTGACAAAGCAAGACCCTGTCTCAAAGAAAAAGGAAAAAGGAATTTAGAAAGTGGGTTCATTATACCTCTGAGTCTAGAGCTATGTTGCTATCATTATGAACATGCTGTAACTCTAATAAGTATATATCATGATGCATAGAACTCGTTATTAGATATACCACTGGATATTGAACTTCTGCAAGGAGTTTTTAATATTTTCTTCTTCCGTTACACAGGCTGGAAGTGGAGCCCTGCCGATAGGCCCTCTTTTGCTGAAACACACCAAGCTTTTGAAACCATGTTCCATGACTCCAGCATTTCTGAAGGTGAGAATCTGTTGGATTTACTGTTGGTGACTAGTTCTGGGTAGTGGTGGTGGTGGCGATAATGGTAATTACATTTAAAAAATGATCAACTTTTGTAGTTTTGGACTCTGTTTCATAGTATTGAATTAATTTTTGACCTTTATTATTGCTGTGTTGCTATTTTGCTATTTTCAGTGCATCTTTGTGTCTCAAAAAATTGAAATTATATTTTAATTAGAAATTTATTCAGCCTCCCTATCAGTAACCTTAGTAAGTGTGGTAGCTCTTTAAGCATCAATACTTAGAATGTAGGGAAGAAAAAAGGAAAAAATAAGTATAAACTACATCTACAAAGCAGAACTAAGTTGTAAAAATGATAACCAGACATTCCATTTCTGGAAATAGATCTTAAGGAAATAATTAAGAATGTAAACAAAGATTTAACTACAAGGACATTGCATCAAAGTATAGTTTATAATAGTGAGAAATTATGAACAACTGAAATATCTACTGGACTGTAAATTATTACATCCATATAGCTGAATATTTAAAATGATATTCATATGTGTGTGTGTGTGTGTGTGTGTGTGTATATGCACACATTTTTTTTTTTTGAGACAGAGTCTCACTCTATCGCCCAGGCTGGAGTGCAGTGGTGTGATGTCGGCTCACTGCAGTCTTCGTCTCCCAGGTTCAAACAATTCTCATGCTTCAGCCTCCCGAGTAGCTGGGATTGCAGGCGCCTGCTACCACGCCTGGCTAATTTTTGTATTTTCAGTAGAGATGGGGTTTTGCCATGTCAGCTAGGCTGATCTCGAACTCCTGACCTTAAGTGATCCACCCACCTCTGCCTCCCAAAGTGCTGGGATTACAGGTATGAGCCACGGCTCCCGGCCTTCTTGGATATATTGACATGGAAAGGAGTTAAAGGTTAACTTAGTAAACGAGGATATCCAGATGTCCAGTAACCGTGCTCAACATTACTCGTCATAGAGAAATACAAAATAAAACCACAATGAGATACCAATCCACGGCCTACCAGAAAGGCTTATATTAAAATCAGACTGGCCTGGCACAGTGGTTCACGCCTGTAATCCCAGCACTTTGGGAGGCCTAGGTGGATGGATCACTTGAGGTCAGCAGTTGGAGACTAGCCTGGCCAACATGGTGACACCCTGTCTCTACTAAAAATACAAAAACTAGCCAAGCGTGGTGGGTGCCTGTAATCCCAGCTACTTGGGAGGCTGAGGCAGGAGAGTCACTTGAACCCGGGAGATGGAGGTTGCAGTGAGCTGAGATCGCACTGCTGCACTCTAGCCTGGGCGACAGAGCAAGACTCCCTGTCAAAAAAAAAAAGACTGGGCACTGTGGCTCACACCTGTAATCCCAGCACTTTGGGAGGCCGAGGCAAGCAGATCACAAGTTCAGGAGTTCAAGACCAGCCTGGCCAACATGGTGAAACCCCATCTCTACTAAAAATACAAAGAATAACTGGGTGTGGTGGCTTGCTTCTGTAATCCCAGCTATTCAGGAGGCTGAGGCAGGAGAATCATTTGAACCTGGGAGGCAGAACTTGCAATGAGCCGAGATCACGCCATTGCACTCCAGCCTGGGCAACAGGGTGAGACTCCATCTCAAAAAAAAAAAAAAAAAAAA